CATTGTAGCAACGACGAAACATACAAGAAAGAACTTTATATCAAGAAATAATTTTATATCAAAAAGGCAGCCCAGCCTAGTCTAACTCCACTCTCCATGGATCCGATGCTAGTCTGAGCCCTCAGTTAGCTGCAGGCTGAGGTTGCTGGAATCATGGTAGTGTGCTAACAGCTCTCCCAGTCAGTGGTCCTCATGGGATGGGGAGTAGAGGGTGGGGACTGGATACAGACAGAGTCCTAGTGAGGAGGAAGCAAAGGACAAGAGAGAAAAGTCACTGTCTCTCATAAAAAGGCCACGCCCGATAGCGGGAGGGTGGAGGGAAGGTGAGGGAGAAAGGGGGAACAGATGACAAGGTCTACATATGGCCTCCTCCCTGGGGGACGGGTAGCGGAGAAGTGGGTGAGGGAGACGTTGGATGGGGTAAGATATGATAAAATAATAATAATTTATAAATTATCAAGGGTTCAGGTGGAGGGGGGAGCAGGGAGGGAGGGGGAAAAATGAGCTGACACCAAGGGCTCAAGTGGAAAGCGGGTGTTGTGAGAATGGTGAAGTCAACATATGTACTAATGTGCTGGACACAAATGACGTATGTACGGACTGTGGTGAGTTGTATGAGCCCCTAATAAAATGATTATTTAATTAAAAAATAAAAATTCCACACCCTCAAAGAGGCATCATGGGGTTGTCATCTGATTGATAGGTTGGACTCCACTCCTACACTTTCACACATACGTTTAAGTTAACGTACAATCTAACTGCCACAGCACCTATCTAGAAAAAATAATAATCTCTTCACAAAATACATTTATCCAGAAGTCTCTATCATTTGTAATTAGCTACCACTTACAGTCTTAATTCTTTAAAAGATTGTAGATTGGGCACTATGACCACTTCCTAACTGTAATTTTGCTACTGTTATGAACCAGGCGACTCCTGTGAAAGGGCTGTTCGACTCCCAAAGGGGTTGTGACCCACAGGTTGAAAACCGCTATCCTAAAGGGTTAAAGGATGGCTTAGAAAGAGATGAATATCAGTCATATTCAACAACTGCTGTCTTATTCTCGGGCTACTTCTAGCTTTTAAGTGATTCAAATTTGACTTGAATAAGGATTTCACTATTTCTTTGTCAAACTTTATAAAGACTTAATTTTATGGTTGGGGTCACCACAACATAGGGAACTGTATTAAAGGGTCTCGGCGTTAGGAAGGTTGAGAACCACTGCTTTAGGACACCTCTGCTCAGTTAAAGCTGTAAGAACAGACATCAGCAACAGAAGCTATTTCTACTCTTCACCCCCAAGCCACTTTGGGAGCAGAATGTTGGTCTCCCCCACAGGTACTCCCATTCTTGCTCCCCGGCTTTCACAAGAAGATGCCGCTCCCCCCCTCCCCCTACCAGCATTTTTTTTTTTT